ATGATGTGAGTGCAATTGTCATCCTTTGTGGAAAAGAGCCAAGAATCCATAAACTTATTTCAAACAAGCAGCAACAAACTTCACACTAATTTGTTATAATTAAACAAGTAAATTTCATATTAAAAGTTCCATTTTACTTTATTATGATCATTATTCTATAGACATTTGTATCATTTAAAAAAAATTCATGATAGTGGTCCATAGGATTCAAAATTGCATTTAGTAGTTCATCAAGTCAGAAAGGTTGATGACTGCTGCTTTAAAGGACTTAAACACTGCTGCAGGTTCTATATAAAAGTTATATGAATGGGTTTATTAAGGATTGATATACAATTCCACTAATACTTTATTTTACAACCCTTGTGACATTTTCAAGTTTTAATGTATAGCATACATTGATGATAAAAACTAACATTTGATAAAGACAAATAAAAAGTTACATAAACTCTGGCAACGATTCTTGAATCAAATTATGTTTTTATTGACAGCTGAATATTCACACTATGTACTGTAAATCATACACAATTTTTGTAGCTTCAGCATCACTTGGCTTAGCAGAAAATTCTGTACTTATATGAGCATCAGTTCATTTACTTTTATGAATGCTTGCTTTGACTGCTTTGGAAGGGAAATCTCCTCTCCTAAATGCTCTAGATAAAACAATGCCATACATCATATATGTATATGGCCAGGGCAGTTAGTGTCAGCCTATCTCTCTCCAAATTTGCAGTTGAAACAGGCATTGACAAGCATTACTCTAATGTAAGATGTCCGCCAGTGATGAGTGGATAAAACCAATGATCAGTAGTTTATCCACTGGAAACAATTTCGTATTTTTTGGCTTTACTTCATGTGTTTAATATCTAAATAGGAGCCAATTTCTCACAGAAAGTGTTCCCAGGAGTTACTTCGCCTTGGCAGATTGCCCATGTTGCATGTCTTATCCATCTATCCACCTGATATAGGCACCATCATGGCAGTCTACAACCCAAGTTATAATCAGCTATCATATTTTAAAAATAAAAGTTACAAACTGCACATCATGGCAGCAATTTATGGCTTGAATCAGAATAAGACTTAAAAAATTAATGCAATAGATGGACAGTGCTTGTATTTTTTTCATTATTTTTCTCAGGTAAAATATAATGTACTAGAAACTCCTCCATCAAACATGACAGAATACTTTTTATGAGAAAGTAGAGATTGAAGAATTGAGAAGAGTAGAGATTTCAAGAAATTCAAGAAGAGTTTCTAATACTTCTGCAAATTAAGTGGTATATACTATCTGTTGTAATATAAGGAGCAACAAAAAATTTCACCTGAAGTGGACAAAAATAGTAGGAATTATAGAGAATTCACTTACACACGCATGTATGCATGCATGCATGCACACACGTGTGTGTGTGTGTGTGTGTGTGTGTAATGAGTGAAGTGATTAATAGGTAGACTTGCCATACGTACTGTATATATGGGACTGTCACCATATTTCACTACTTAGTCCCATATTCTCCCTAAACACTGCATGAGGTGGCTGATGTGTAGCGGTGTCCCAGAAATAGAACATACTATTGCATATTTACAAGTAAGAAACATCGATACTGGCAACACTGAGATTCTATTCAACCAGTTTGTGTATCTAAAAGATTATTTAGAGAAAAATAATATCAACCAAAACTACAAAGCAACTATGAAATTGAGTATGAGAGAGAAATAGCTGAGGTTTTTTTGCAGATACAAAGCATATTGATCAGAAGTCATGTCTAATAAAGCTATGCAGATACATATTTGCCATTCCAACCCACAATGCAAATATGGAGAGAATATTTTCCCTAATGTCAACTCAATGGTTGGACGAAAGAAACAGGTTGTCAGTGGAGACAATTGAAGCAATTTTGATTTGTCATTATAATTTTATAATGACTTGTGCCCAATTTTATAATTATGTAAAAGAAGAAAATTATATAATTAAGAAAGTAAAATCAACTTTAAAATATGACTGGGCTAAAAAGGATTAGCCTTGTATCTTTTTTTTTTATTATTCTACCTATTCATTTTATTAGATTGCTTAAACTTTATTGATTTTTTTTTATTAGGAGTAAAATAAGCCATTACCTATCCACTTTTTTCATGTTTTATTTATTTAGCACTTAAATAAACGTTCCTTCTCAATGCTTGGCAATTATGGCAACCCTATTAATAGGTCGTCGTTCATAATGCCGGCCATTATGAATAATGACTAAAATGGCTGCACAGCCCTATAAATATTGATTTATTAAATTAACCAGACATTATGCATAAAGCTACAATCCTTTTGAGAAATTTGATTTTCAAAAAAGTTCACTATTTTCATTAAGAATGATTTAATTTTGTGAATTACAGTATTTCCAAGTATTTTAAGAAAAACTCTCTCATATTATATGGTTAATATTAATATAGGTATATTTATTACATTAAACTCTTATCAATCAACACATATATATAGTAAATAATAAATAGAATCATAATTGAATAAAGTTAATTTTGGCAATTACAGTACTTTGCACACAACATTCAACAAAATAATTTTGAAAATTTCACTTACAAACTGGAATATTTTTTAAAATAAGTATTATTAATAAAATTATATAGTTTTGTCATAAAAAATCAACTTAAAGGAAACGTTTGGAATGTCATTTTGATTTATGATTAAAAAAAATTTAATATTTTGTCGGGTGATCACTCTTCAAAATATCATTTTAATCACTTTGCCCGACAGATGATAGCAGTATTCATATTGACCAGTCAATGTGATAAATTACGTTAAAGAACATTATTATAACACCTGATGTTAATTGTCATTATTCGTAATGGCCAGACGGGCGGATCTACATAGGGACTAATAGGGCTTAAGCCTTAGGCCCACAAAAATTGAATTATTGTTATAAATTTTTATGAGCACTTATCGTATAGAAAAAAAAATAGTTAATAGGTTAGGTTTGGTAAAAATGGGGCCCCATTGGACTTTAATAAGTCCTAGGCCCCAAAAAGCGTAGATCCACCCCTTAGCCAGACACTGTTTATAATGTCCATATATATAATCACTTAATTAATCCATCATATCAGACGGCCGGATGGCCGAGCGGTTAAGGTGGCATCCGACTGCTTTGGAGAACCCGGACGGGTCGAAAAATCCCCAGGAATTTTTCGGGGGATGGTCCGTCCGAATATGTTGGGCCCCGTCCCTCACCTCCCGGCCGCTTATTGTGGGCCTGCTAAAATGAAGCCCTCTTAGTGCCCACAGGGCGTAAAGAGTTAAAAAAAAAAAGTCCATATCATATATATACAGTATAATTATTTCTTCTTATGGGCAAGCATTTCTCTCTCGGCAGTTCGCCCATGTGTCGCGTAATTGAAAAAAAACCAAAGCATTGTTTTTTACTATTGACTCTTCGCCATGAGAATAGTCTTTTATTTTCCGTATTCATCGTAGGTTAACGGCCGGATGGCCGATGCAGTTTAGGTATAGTCTGTCTGTCTTTTGAGGGATCCGGAAACCGGAAAATCAAAAAATCCGAGACTTTTCATGAGAGGGAAATCCTAGATGCCCACCAGTGCCGAGTGAATCCACTGAACACTGCTTCTTTTTTTTTTTTTTTTTAACTTTTTCCGCCCCATGGGCTCTAAGATGGCTTCTTTTATCAAACCTATTATGGGTTCGGCCAGGCCCACAATGGGGCGGCCGGGTGGTGAGGGATGGGGCCCGACATATCCGGACGAACCATCCCCGAAAAATTCCTGAGGATTTTTCGATCCATCCCGGAGTCCAGAGCGGTAGACTGCCACCTTGACCGCTCGACAATGAACTGACCAAGTGAAGTTTTTCGAATTTTCTTCACGTTAGCAATACCTAAATAGGAACCAGTTTCCATAAAAGACCTCCCGGGAGACATTCCGTATTCAGCAGATCGCCTATGTTTTGCGTTGCCGTATACAAATAAAACTAGTAGTTTGTAAAAAACAGTATATCCGGATTAAATTATTAATTCATTTCTAAACTTTTCTATCATATAATTTACCTCAGCAAATAGTTTGAGTCCGTAAATAAAACGAATATTGAATGATTACAGTGAAACACTTCTGAATCCTAATATAAATATAATTTCGTCACTTTGATATTACATTAATTGATATATTTTTTACAGTTTTTTTCAGATAGTTTCAATTTCCAAATAGTATGAGTGGACCGGATGGCCGAGCAGTTAAAGTGGCAGATATCGTTATGGTAGACTCTGAGATCGAATCCGGACGGGTAAAAAACCCCAGGAGTTTTTCGGGGTTGACCCGTTAGAATGTGTAGGGCTTCGTCCCTCATTATCCGGCCGCCCCATTGTGTCCCTGGCTAAATCCATAATGGACATGTTAGAAAAGGCGTTCTTAGTACCTGAATAATGGAGAGTTAAAAAAAAAATGATATCACTTGATGCCAGTTGGTATTATGCATCGAGAATTTAATAATGTGAAAACGTTTTAAGATCATTTTATGAAAATTCATTTTATTTTTGCTATTTAATGGAATAAATGATTGCAGATGGCTTGCCCTTTTTTAATTTAATATAATTTCCTGTCAATTGACATTAATTCATGTCATTCGATATCTTTTACCATTTGGAAATAATTTTAAATAAGGAACAGACTAAAACTTTAGTTAACCTAACTTCATCGATTATAAAATTTGAAAATTATAATTATTGTATTTTAATATCAAAAATTAGAAAAAAATTAATTTATAAAAATTATGTAAAAGTTTTATAACCGAATGCTATAAAAACGTTATTTTTTTAAATTAAATTATTTCTCAATACGATTAAGCCAGAAAATTAACCTTGAAATATCAACCAATGATGTAGGAAATAAGAACTTTAGTAAAGAGTCCTTGAAACTGAATTTATTGCCGATTGGTTAGAAATGATTATTTTTGTTTGAAAGAGCCAATTAGAAATATCCTTACAATTTTTCCGTTGATATCACGTGTCTGGTAATCCTTCCGCCATTTTGGTTTCAAATTTGCCGGGATTGGAAGTGTAGATCGTCAGTACAAAAAGTATTTTTGTTTCGAGATTTGTCACTTTGTCTAATCAGTACTTAAGCATTTTAGTTTAGTACCACGTAGAAAAATATGAGCGATATCGATCCAAATAAAATGAAAGTAGTAGAATTACGAGCTGAATTAGCAGCCCGCAATTTGGATACTAAAGGTAACAAAGCGGTACTTGTGAAACGTTTGAAGATTGCACTCAACAAAGAAACTGGAAATTTGGATGCGAGTAAGTCCATTCTACACATTAAATGATTTGTAATATGTTATTTTAACTTTATAGGATTAAGTATTTGGTTTTATTATTTTTCAATGATTTATTTTTAACCAAATTATTTTCGTTAGGCTTAGCGAGTATCCGCCATTAGATTTTAAGCTAAAATTGTAAATATCTTTGTTAGGATATCGTTGCGAAATGTGTTTTTCTTTAACTTTAGTAATGATTTACACACAAATAACGTAATAAACATATTAAAATTTAAAATTATAATAATTTTTCTATTTTAAATTTTACTCTGATTCGTTTTTAATTGTTTATGATAATTTATATATCAAACGTTTATTTGTAATCGATATGATTAAATTATTTTAACTAGTTATTACCGTTATTTAATTTATGAAGAATATAATTACAATCATTGTGAAAAAAAATTCAGTAATAGCTGATTTGTAAAATCAAAATTAATTTTTTAGAAATAATAATAATGTTTTATCTGTCTTGGAATATCATACGATGGTTTGTTTTTGTTTTGGATAATTATTATCAAATATCAAATTATTATCAAATATATATCAAATAAACTCCAGTGGAAATAAAAAGTAAATGTTCAAAAAATCTAAACCTGACAAGAACTTAATATTTTTGGCTTTTTGAAAGCTATCTTCAGATTGCAGTAAAATAGAATAATTAGAATGCATTGAAAAAAACCTTTTCAACTTACACTAAAAAGTCTAGAATGTTTGCTAAATAAGTTTCTTTCTGAATTCAAAAGCATTTTTGAATATTGTATTTTATAATACTCGGTTGAAATAGATAATGGCATGCTGAACATACCAGCTTCCACCAGATCACCAAAGTTAAAAATGTAGACCTTGGTCATTAGGCCCACCATGGCGAGTGGATAATACCACTGAACACTGGTAGTTGCCAATGGACTTGGCATGTGGAGTTTTCTGGGTTTTTCTTCTGACACCTAAATAGGGGCCAGTTTGAGAGTTGAAGCTCCTCCTGCACAATACTTTTAAGTATTTAAGTCTTGTAGCAAACACTTTTATCATTTATTGAATATTCTATGATGCTAAAAGAAAACTTGCCATCTTTTAACAAGAGAACATTTATATGTTGGAGTGTTGACCCCACCATATAAATCCCTCACAATCCTTGCTACCTGGGCCATGTTCAGTAACGCGGAATTCTTGTTAAGTCTAGTTTTGCTGCAATGTTGAACTCGTTTCTAACTACTGCTTGACTCCTCTCACCACTAGCTTCTTTTATGTATTCTTAGCTCCACCCACTAAGCCACTCAGAATTCTAACTTAGGTGTTCTGCGTTACTGAACATGGCCCTGGATGACCAGTGATTCTGCCTTTAAGCCTGATACTCAGTGCAGAAATGGACAATGGAAGTCATCAATGGAATGACAAAATGATATCACTTTTGCTGTTGAAGCCGATGGAATATGAAGTTGAAAATTTTCAACTTTTGCCGTTGGAATGGTAAAAATTAGATGAATAGGAAGGCTGTTTATCAATGCCATCATAAACAGTGGTGATATTCAGCGGGTTCGCACAGGTTCGGCCGAACCCGTTGTTAACATTTTCAAAGTTTTTCCGAACCCGTTGTTAAACACACGTAACATTTCTCAGTGGTTTTGTTTCTTTTAAAAATATATGTATTATACTCTATAACACTACTAAACTAGAGCATTAGACCCCGTTCGCCTTGGTGCAACCTCCATCGATCGTTTCAATCTCGACTGAAACGAGGTTTAATCGTGGTCGACTCAAAAGAGTTCTTGAAACTAGGTCCACTCATACGAGAGATCCCACAATCCCACGCGCGCGAGAAAATATAAGATGCCTGCAAAACACATGTAGGGCTATTGACAGGGAAATAAAAAAGATATTGTATTTCGAGAAACGATGACATCTGTTTATTATTATAATAACACCTAATGATAAAATAAATGATTTAGAAAATGTGAGGAAAGAACAGACCCTTTATAAAGTGTTATTTTGGGTTTTAATTATTAAAACATTTCATCATATAAAATCGAGCGTTAGGCTAAAAGCCATAAAAATTTATTTCCCACGGAGTTGGTTCCTTGTTGAAGAGGATCCAGCTAGTCAGCGATGTGTCACCCGGAACTTTCGATAGAGTGCCTATATCGGACGCCAGACCATTAACAACAACCACCTGACGTCATGGGAAAAACCCAAGAGGAATAACAAGAGAAAACGGAAAAAACACCCAAAGTCATTCGTTTTCCAAAGTCCCTTCACAAAAGTCGTCCTCAAGGATTAAACCCGTGAACCCGAATCCAGACGTAAAACCCGTGCACCAGAATCCAGAAGTAACACCGTGCCTCTTTAAGAATCTCGCCCACTTCCGTGCTGACACTTCCTCGTCTCTCTCTTCACCTCTACTCCGAATCCAACCGCTCACCCGCTACCGCTCGCGTGACGTAAAGTCGCGATTTCCGAGTCCTCAGAGACTCGGTGGTGTCACATCCTGACATGGTGTCGACGAGACACCGACCCTACGGTCACAAAAAGTTTTTTCTTGAGAAAAAGTCATGATTTTTTCTGATTAAAAAAAACAATTTTTATATTTATAAAATATTTTGAATGAAAAATATTAAAATATGTACAAAATAAACCATTTTGAACACTTTTTTTATATATTTATCANGGCATAAACAATGTTAAATTTTAACTGACTTAATTTTGCGAACGCATCTTTTTTATTTATATAAGTATCTTAAGGTCAGTTTTTGCGCTAATGTTACTAATGCACCATTTGAGCGAAAAAAATTGTCAAGGAAAAATTTTCTGTTAGCGAACCCTTTGTTAAATATTTCGAATATCACCACTGATCATAAACATCATGTGGGATGATAGCATTTGAACTATGTTGGTCGGCACAACTAAAAAGATTTATTTATACTCTAATATGTTACTATATTTCAATTTAAGTATTAAATTAATATCAAATAGATATACTTACTGCATAAAGTATTGGGAATGGCATAATTGCAATTTGGATATGAAAGTATTAGACATTCCATTTTGAAATATTTTTCTCATCCAAATTTTTTGCTTTTGTGTGATTTTTTTTTTGTGATAAGATCATAAGCAAACTTAATTGATATAACAAAGCAATCCCAGTCAGTACCATTTTCGACTAGTGATAGCTGTTTACATTTGTGGCTGGCGTTTCAGTTCTAGGGTAATTTCTGCACGTGAGTATATCTGATGTGGAAAGAACAAGGAACGGCAACTTTTAGCTTACCATTTCTGTCTGTTTCCGCATGAGTACCAGGCTATATTCTAGTTCCTATGTTTTGATCTGTTCAGCTTGGGTATCCCTGTCAGTAGCAGAGCTGTTACTGACATAGTTTACAAGGTAGAGGGTGTACAAGCCTGCTCACCACATCAAGGTGGGAATCTTAGAGCAGATATTTGAGAGGAGTGTGTGATGTAACAAGGTGAAATTATCTGAGAAATGAACAAGTGCTAGAGGAATGTAGAGTGAAAAAGAGTGTGGTTCAAAAGGTCAGTAAATTGGCTCTATGGTTCGGTCATGTTGGGAGAATGAGAGGAGAACTATTGAAAAGAGTATATATGAGAAAGATAGATGGGAAGCTTGGTAGGGTAAGGTTTAGAAAGTCTTGGTTGGAATAAGTGTGGATGAGTATCTGAAAGAACTTAGGTGTTGAATTAGAATGGGAATGTGAGGAAGTATGCTAGAAGCATGAGTGTCTGGACAGGAAGGTGTGGAGAAAGTTGCTGAATAGATGATATGTAGAATTAGTCTTTTTGCCTGCTGCTTGCACTTTTTGGATTATGAATGTGAGGGTATGTATGTATGTAAGTAAAAGAAAACTGTTATTTAAAGACAAAATCTGACTTTTTGTGGACTCCTTTTACCTTTTGGGCCCTATATATAGTTATATATTTTTGTAATTTTAGTCCAGTCCTGTTGGCAGTACTTTAGTTAGAGACTACATGAACTTTTGCCAAATGTTGCAGCCACTGAGAATCAGTTGAAGCCATGAGCTAGTATAAGTGCAGAACACAAGTCATCATCTTGAGAGTGAAAGAAACATAATAAACTTGTTGCTTAAAATTGTAATTAAACAAAGCATTTCTGCTTTTTATTTATTAAGATTTTTGATTACATTGAAAGCTTCACGTAAGTACAGGTAGGCCTCCTACAACGTGGTACTTTTACAACGCGATTTATGGTAATTAGAAATGAATTATCTTCACATAACAGAAAAATTGCAACGGATCACGTGATACGAGCCACAGTTTGGCATACAGAGCTAAATGTCTTTGAAAAAAGCTGTTTGTCGATGGTGTGTTATTCCCTTGAAAGTTTCAGGGGAAGACCAGTTTCTAGACAGATGTGCATCAGTTACCGTAAACACTCAAATATATCACTAAATTTTCAATCATTTATACTCTTTCAATAAGTGGGGACCGCAAAAATGGTCCAAAATACAGTATAAACATAAACGTCTATTGGGTGTATATTTTTAACAACATAGTGAAAGGAAGTTATTTTTTACTTCTGATTGAAAACTGATTGAAAAAATTTTAGCCATAACAATGCCGAATGAAAAGAAAGGACCGTCATTAAAAAGGAAATTTATAACTCTTCAAACAAAGATAGAAATTTTGGATTGAATTAAAAATCAAGAGCGGATAGCTAATATTGATAGGCATTTTAATTTAAATGAGTTGGCTATTCAGTCAATTAAGCAATTGGGAGAAAAGATCAGTAATTTGGTCGCATCCGGATCATCTATTCTTGCAAAAAATGTTGCTTGTCTGAGAGCACCTATAATGGAAAAAATGGAACAAGCGCTAATATTATGGGTAGAAGATATGAACATGAAACGGTTGCCTTTAAATAAAACTGCACTTAAACACAAAGCCTTAAAAATATTTGATTATTTAAAACAAATGGGATAGTCGTCAGCTGATGAAACCAGTGTGAAATTC